ATGAACTATTAAAAGAAGAACCAGACTGAAAGTTTTTCTAAAAACGGTATCTTGAAACATTAAGGAAAACAGTAGAATTATTAGAACCAAGAGCTCAACTAGAACAATACAGAGGATATCAAACTCCTAAACCAACAGTAAAACAACTACTAGAAGGAACATATTACGAGGATATTTTCAAACCACAATATATCAATAAATGATAATTGAAGAAAGAATCTTACTATATTTTAAATTATTAAAATATATTCAAAATATTGAAAACTTTTTATTAATGGCTAAAAGAATTCAAGATTTATCTTCAAGAAAAGAAAAAGATTTTAATATTAAAAAAGCATTTCGGAAACTATCAATCAATATTCAAAACATTGAAATATATTTAAAAGTTCTAAAACTTACACTTTAACTCTTGGACTGAAAATTGCCAATGAGTTATTTATCAACTGATGAGAAACAAGAATATCAAAGACAAACCACCCAATTAGAATTAGTATACAAAAATATAATTATGCCAGAAAGGACACTAACTGAAGAATTACAACTAGAAACACCTACAACCACTCCTATAGTACCAAAAGGAGATGAAGAAATTATAGCATATACTGATATACCAGTTAAAATTAATTACTATTCAACTAGTTTTAAACAATTTTAATGACTACGATATTTAGATTAGAGAATTGAAAAACTGTTCAATAACAATATTATAGTTTTACCAGAAACAACTTTGATATTGATAATTAAACATCAGTTAACAATAAAAGTAAAGCTACTCCAATCATCCATTAAACCATTTGGAAAATTTATAGTACAAATAATATCAACCAAACCAGGACACTTTACCAGAATTTCTAATATAGTGCGAAAGGATATCTTTGTATCCTTTTACAAAGAAGTACACCCATACTTACAATTATGAGAAGAAATTACTGAAATAGAGCATTTTGTAGTAAACCTAACTCGTGACGAACCAAACCAAGTATTAGTATATCAAGGAACCCTTAACAGAAATAAAAATTTAAAGAAAATATCAGAAACAAAAACAACACTAAAAGACAAAGATTTTTATATCATCTCCTTGTTTGATACTTTTATCTGGACACTTGATGAAGCAGAAGCTCATATTTGGCACGAATTTTTGTACATGCAAGAAAATAATTTAGTACACTATAAATAAAAAACAAGTACAAAAAAAAACTCAAAAAGAAACTAAGATACATACAAAGATGATATTCTAAAGAACTAATCAAACACCCAAATTCAGAAAAATTAGGGCAGTGGAAATATATTGAAGAACAATTAAAAGAAAATATTAAGCAAATTAAAGAAACCTATAAAAACGGATTAAGTGAAATTAGAGAATTAATTAAATCAGTAAGGAAATACTAAATGGATATTAAAGAAAGACTACAAGCAAATCCAAACAATGTAACAAAAACTGACAAAAAGGAAAGATATAAACTCATACTCTTATACCTCTCATTCAGAATAATATACCAGAAATGACATGGCAATTCAAACATCAATTAGTCAAAAGTTGCAGAATTAAGACGAAAAGCTAAATGGTACAAGTAGAGTAATAGCCAAACACCATCAAAAAAAAAGCAATTGAATTAATACAAGAATACCATCAACAAGTATTTGTACCATGGACATTAGGAACCGCTGTAAGCCTCTATCAACTAATACTCAAGGACTTAGCAGAAGAAAAAGAGACATTAAATAAAGAACTAAAACAATCACAAAACGTACAAGAATATAAATATTCAGTTCCTGAAGTATGGCAAAAGAGAATTACAAAATTTGAACAATTTAGTGAGGACAACGCAGAGAAACACAAGATACGAATAGAAGCAGTAGAAGAATTATTACTAATAAACCCAGAAGAAGTAAAGAATGAACCAACAACGGGAATATAATTTTATATTCCATAATCCAATAATAACAGGACCAGAATTACAATACCAATATTGTTCAACTTGGCAAAAATATAGAAATTACCCTGAAGAATTTAAATGAGAAAAATGAATAAACAGAACTTGTATACACTGTAAAGATAAAAGAGCCCAAAAACCAGAATATCAAAGGGAATATCAAATTCAAAGAAGCAATAAAGAAGAAAATATTAGGAACCAACCTATACAAATAAAGTGCTCAAGGTGTAAAATCAAGAAACTAAAAGAAGTATTTGAAGAAAAACAAACAGGAATATTATATCGAACCTATATTAAGTGTAAAACTCAAAGTGCAAACTCAGGATATAATTTTGAACGATACTGAACAAACCTACAAATAACAAGTGCAAGACAAGCTATTATTGATCAAATTAATAAAAAAGTATATGAAGCATCACAACAAGAATATCAAGAAGTGTACCAAGTGCAGAACATCTAAAGGGACATATACTATTCCCAATAAATTAGGAAGCATTAGCAAAACCTGTGATAAATGTAAACTAAAGTTAGAACAACAGAAACAACAAAGATCTGTAGAAATAATAAACGATAACAGAACATTTTCCTATAATTATTTAATTAGTTGCATTATTTGTTCAAAAGAAAAACCTTTAGAAGAATTTGTTAAAGATCACAGAAAACTTAAATCTTGTCAAGAGTGTAGACTAAAGTATTATTAAAACTATACACCTTCAAAACCAATCTCAGAAACAAACAACAAAAAGAAATGTTGCCTAAAGTGCAAAAGATATCTTACCAAAGAATATTTTGAAAAAAAAATTAAAAAGATTAATAGTATAATAGAATTACAACATTGCTACTAGTGCAATCAAATTGACTGAGACTACAGAAGACATGTGCAAACTGAAGCATATAAACTAAAGAAATCTAAAGATCTACAACAAGAAATAGAACAATCTAAAAAAGAACTTGAAAATATTGAAATAATAGAGTATATGATTAAACAACTAAATGAAAATGAAACAGTTACTATTAATTGAAGATCCAGAGTATGGAATATTTTGAAAATATATTACTTGCAACAACTTTAACAATATAGTAGAGTATAGAGAAATAATTAACAGAAACCAAGAAATATACAATAACACTTGTTTCACATGCAGAAACTTAGAATTCATAGCACAATTATTGATTAATCACCTTAACTTACCAATCTGAGATATAGTCCAAACAGCATTATTTAGATACCACCCCTCAAAAGGATATCAAATAGTATTATCACAAAGAAATAAACCTCTGAAAGTACCCAAAAGAGCCAGACAAAAACAGCCCTCTAACATCTAATCTGAGTGTTTCTAGCTCTTGTGGAACCATGCAAGCTAGGTATATGGTGAACACTGTAGAAGACACTTCTCTTGTAGAATTATTTTCAATATCATTAGCCTCCTATGATCCACACACAATATCTCCAACAAATAACGTAACCCAAATTACATCAACAACGACCTCTGATGAAGAAGATGAACAACTATTCATTTCTTCAATTCTAAACTGCCAATTAGAACCTGATCTACCTCGCCTCGAAATAATAATACAAATAACTGAAAATCTCAGAACTATTGATCCTACTACATGCTATAACAAATTCCTCTTCCATTACAAATTACCTCCGCTCGAACACCCACAAACAATCTTTACTTTTCTTAAATACCTACGAGATGACTTTCCCCTCTATTACTCACCCTCCTATATTAGAATCTCTATTTTAAACAAAAAAGATACTAATGACTAGGGTTCCAAACCAGATTGAAAATTCAAACCCGTGACCCGTCGGGTCACCCGTTTTTACTAACCGGTTACCCGAAACCAAACCTGGTTACCCGATTAAACCGGATAACACAATTACCCAATTAGACTGGGTAATACAGATACCCGATTGTACCAGATGTCACGGATACTCTATTATCTGATTATCTAAAATTACTATATCGATATCGTTATAGCACAAAATTTTGCTCTTTATTTAAAAAACAAATTTATTTTGTTTATATTTTAAAAAAATTTTTACAAAATAATCCATCAAAATATTACCAAACTCTTAATAAATCTATAAATCAGACCTTAAAAAATTGAAAGTTCATATAATTTATCTAATATATAATTTCCCATTTCTGAATGAAATTATAGAACCGATGAGATGTAAACGTATGTTTAGTTTAAGAGATCCGCATTATAAACATAACCCTATTAATAATAGCAATTAAAGATAACCATTAATATAGCCAATATATAGCTTAATATAGTAAATAGATAAATATGGACCGCAAAAGGAAAACCTGGAAATCTTATAAAATTTCCAAGTTTTCTCTTTGTGTATTCATATTTTAATTGCACTTAATAAAATGTACCAATGAAACAACATCCGACGTACTGAATTTTTATTTATCAGTCATTAAATAGCCAAACTAAGTTTTGCCCCACATACTCGTATTCATAATTAGATGTATTTTGAAATCCAAGTTAAATAAATGAAAGCATAAATAAGTAAAGTCTGTGCAAATATTAATTAAAGTATGTTTAGACACAAAGTACGTATAAAATAAAATAAGCATATACGTAAGAATTTGACCTACCAATTTATCTGATTAAAAATTTTGCGCATTTTTATCTATTTATTTCTTAATTTTTTTGTTTTTTATAAACTAGCGCTTTTTTAATATGAAAAAGATTAAGACACTCACAGAATACAATTTTCTCTTTCTATAGCTATCTTAATTATCGATATAATTATTTATTATTTGACCTAAAATTATTCTATTATATGATATGGCTATTTCTTGATAATCTTCTAGTATTTACTACTGTTAATAGATTCTTTCTTTTGCGATTACTACAGTATCTGATCTTAAATTCCTCCAGCTAAACATACCTGTATTATTCAAATAAATTTGTCTAATCTATGATCTAATCTCTATAATATTCCATCAGGGTCACAAGACAAGTAACACCTATTAAGCCAAACAGCTTATTAATTTTTAAAAACAAAATTACTAGTCTCACATAAATATATCTCTTATCTGTATTTCATAATTCATCTGGCTTAAAAATAGAAAAGTGTTCCATATTACGCTTGAGGAACAACATTTGTTCAACCATATCAGGCTGAAGCCTGTTACGCAATGTTGTTATATGCTGCCCGGTATCTGAAAACAAGCGTTCAGAAGGAACCGATATAGCTGGTACTGATAAATATTTCTGAGCCAGGTTTGATAAGGTGGGGAATTTTTCTGCATTGTCCCACCACCATGTCAATGGATTACATTTTCTCTTTTGAATAGGTTCACGAAGATAACGATCAACCTTAGTCTCTTCATAAGCATTATCTGATTCTTCATTATTATACAAGTCTAAAACTAAATCATTAGTTATTGCAGGAGTAGAAGCTAACATACTAGATGACTTAGCAAACCTATGATTTTTTAGAATTTTCTCAGCCAAAGGTTGGTGACGCTCTTCCTCAGTACAAAGTCTCCATACCGTGTCGATTGTGATTCGCTTTACATTTTCATCATCATTAAATTTTAAGTTTTTTATTTGTGGGTCCAAAAATGATGCAATAAGCCCAGTTTTCTCTAGAACATCCCAATACTCTTGGAGAGAAAGATAACTTGCTGCCTTGACTAGGTCATATAACTCTTAGTAGCAACAGGCGGCTCTATTGAATGACGATCTTTAAACCGTGGATCATTATATTTTTTATGAATATCCTTTTGAACTTTTTTACGATTTTGTTTTTTTCTTTGTCCTTGTGATACACATAGCGGTTGTCGAAGTTTTTCTGAAATCATAGGCATTTCATTGTTAAATTCATCAGAATCTTCTTCATCAGTAATTAACTGACTTTGATTATCATTTATTTGTTCCCTGGGTTCAAACAATAAATCGGCATAATCATCTTCAGTTTGCTCATCTGAGGGCGCAAACCTTTTAATAAGTAGCCTCATTGTGGAATAAATAAGATTCAGTGTAGAATAAGTTGAGCCAGAAAATATAGTGATAGCTTCATAGAATGGCTTTAGCAAGCAGATAAGTTTATCTAACAATTGCCATTCACTATCAGTTAAGTTTACTAATTTCAAATATTCTCCATCAAGGCGGTCATATCGTTCTGATTCAGATGGTAACATAATAACAAGATAATCAATTGCTTTTCGTAATTCTTTAAGTCGGATCCAAGCTAAATATGAGGAATTCCACCTTGTTGCTACATCCTCAGTTACTTGATAAATTGTTGGGTATCAGTATTTTTCTTGTGCATCTTTAAGACGTTCAGTTTGTTTAGGGCTTTTAGAAAAAAAAAGGATCAGATTTTTTGCTCTTTTAATTAGTCGTATCACAGGTTTAAAACCTTTTAGAACGCTTAATTGAAGCGTATGAGCTGAACAAGCTAACCACACAACATCATCTATTAAACTAACTGCCTTTTTGACGTTGGCACCATTGTCCGTCATAATACAAAAAACTCTTCCATTTAGACCCCATTCGGTAATAATTTGATTAAGCGAATTTTTAATATTTTCAGCAGTGTGTGGTGAAGGAAGTGGTTGGATTGTTAATAAAGCCTCCTTTAATACAAAGGTTGAATCAGCCCAAGTTGCTATTACTCCAATATATTCTTCATTAGTCTTTGAACTCCATAAGTCTGTTGTTAAATTGATGAATCCACCATCTGTATTCACCATGTCAAATAATTGATCGCGGCTCCAATCATAAGCTTTATTAATTTTTTTTTTTGTATTTATCTCACAGAGAATCTGAAATCCAGGTTCCATAGCATTTAAAAGACGGCGAAAGGTATTACAACGTAAAATATTTAAGGGCTGGCAGTCCTCAAGAACAAATTCGATCAACCCTCTTGTTAGTTTTTCTTGACGGCATTTGGTGATAATATGTATTGCCTTGACAATAGAGCCACCGGTATTTGTTCCATTGGGATGATCTTTATCTATTCGGTGCTTAGACCAAAGGTGACCAAGCATATTTCCTGTTGACGAGTCATGCGCATATTTGACTGTTATATTTTTTTCTTTACAGAGTTGGCATATATCAACAAACCCATCTTCTGCTTCTTCCATTTCAAAATAATCCCATGCAATACTATGATTGCTTCTTTTTTTTCGCTTTTTAATTTTTCTTTTCTTGAGGAATTCTTTATCTTGAGATGGTTCCTCATCTCTAGGAGATTCATCATCTATATGCGATTCTTCACCTCTAGGTAATTCATCATAATCTAAAGAGTGCACATCGTGCGCATCACCATCAAACATGTAATCAGACATAAGATTATTCTCTATTACGGTAAGTTAAGATATTTATTTTAATACTATAATTATAATACATTTGCTAAAAATTATCATTTTAATTTTAAACCAATTGTCCTATAACTATAATTCTCTATTAATACATACTCTTTGGGCTTCATTTTTGCAACGGTGATGGTAGACAATAATTAGCGGGTAACAGTTAACGAGAAACAGTCTGACAGCTACTTGGTTGTGACTTGTGGGCGACTGGAAAACTACTTGGGGTGTGATTTGTGGGCGACTGGTGGGAGCGTAGTTGTGACGCGTGGTTGTGATGCGTGGTTGTGAATTGGGGCAACTGATGGACGATAGCTAGTGTAGAATGGTTGGTTGATCAATAACGAAATTTTTATAACAGGGTTTAAGAATAAAGTGCATTTCTTGTCATGTTCTTAACAAACAGCGAAAATAGTATATAACGATAAAAAAAAAAAAAGTTCTTGACGATATGATCACCTTTTTATATATTAATGAATCGAACAATTAATATAATTTTGCATTATTCATAAATCGAACAATTACGGTACTTTTGCATTATTCATTATCTCTATGCATTATTGATTACAGTATTATTACTAAATCTAGCGTTGACGTTATCATTTGGGCGCTGTTCAATAGAAAAGGGATAAATTTTTTTAAATCTGGTCAAATTGACCAGATTTAAAAAGATTTATCCCTTTTTTATTGAACAGCGCCCATTTATTTAACAGATAACCGGGTCAACTATATACCCGTATATACCCGTTTATCAACCGGATATCCGCATATCGTAAAAAAAAACTGGTTATATCAAAATGTGATCCGGTCAGCAATTTTTTCAGGTCGGGTAATCAGTTACATGGTTATTCGGGTGAGAGGTTGGAACCCTACTAATGACTACTACAAAAAAGCACATATTTACCTCCCTAAAGAACCATACCCACTCCCAAACCACTTTACCCCACCTTTTCAAGATCTACCGCGCTGGTTTACTTATACTCCTCTAAAAACTTTCTCATTCTCACTCTATGATTCAACCTACTATCCTCTTAATTTTTCTATTTGTACTCACAACATTCGTAGTTTTACCAAAAGTCAAAACAACAAGTTTGGGAAGACTATTGCTTAGCTAACAATCTAGACATTATTAGCCTAATTGAAACCAAACTTGCTTATAGCTTATTTTATTCCAAACCATTGGCAACCCCCTTCTATACTTACTTTTGGTCATGTATGGATAGCTCCAAAGCCGGCACTGCCATTATGATCCATAAACATCTTACTTCTCATATTCACAAAATTACTACCCATCTTGAATATGCCATATTCATAGACCTTTTTTTTAAACATGACTTCAAATTCTGTATTATTTCTACCTACCTTCCTAGCAACGATTTAACTACCAGACTATACACTCAAAACCTTATCATCCAATAGATCCAGCAGGCGATTTCTTCTAATCTGCTCCCTATTGTTCTTGGTGACTTTAATGCCACTCCTGACTCTACACTCTTCTCTTCTAACAATTTAAACTTCTCCAATTTCTCACTTACAACAATATATACAACCTTGCTTCTCATACTTCATCATCCTTACCCACCTGGCAAAGCTCTAGATACAGCAGTGAAATTGTCTTTATCTGGAGCTACTATACTATCTTTACATACCTAACTTCCTTTGAAACTGATGATACTAATACCAGCTTTTTAAGTGATCACAAAATCCTTATCTCCTGTTGGCTTTTCCTTATGCTCTACAAGGCCAACGCAGATACAAAACCCATACTCATCACAGAGTCTTTAACTACAAAGTTATGGACTCCACAAAATGGAAAGATTTTTCTAACCAAGTTCATAACAATCTCCTATCAAATTTTACTCCTCTCTTTTCACATATTGACGAATCTATTGAAACCACTTGGCACAAAATCCAAACTAGTATCATCTCTGCAGCCTTATAGTATATCCCTAACAAAAGATTTACTATTCGCAATTTTCAATATATATTTTTCTGCAAAGCCTCCCTATTACACTCTAGTCTTAAAAAACTTGGCAATATTATTAGACAAATTAAACATTTACTCCAAAACAACCTACCTATTCCCTTACATCTTAATTCCACTACTTCTCTATTTAACAACTCTCTTAATCTTCAAATACCCTCTATTCCTGCTAATCATAGCCTACTTTTTTCCTGGATATTTACTGCTAACGAGGAATAGAAAAATATTTACCATGCCTGGAATATTGAAAACATTAAAGAAATTAGACAACACATCAATAACTCCATCAATAAACAGTGCACCAAACTCCAAACCAATCCTACCTCAATAATTAATAGCATCCTTAACCAGCACAAAGACCCAGTCAAATTTAACAATATTAAACTTAATAATAACATTATTACTAACCCTACAATTATTAAATCACACATTCAGCAACATTTTGACAACTAGACTGCTCATCGTGATATCAATTATCTCTTAATATGTAGACCAACGCAGGCAAATTTCTCTGCGTTTTTGCACTTTTTTAGCTCTGATTTACTTTTTTAAAATGCTAAAATATTTAAATAAAACTTTGCACAATTATATT